TTGGCCGACCGACCGACCGTCAACCTCGGAACGACCAGGATGACTGAAATATCGTGTTCGGGGGTTTTCTCGCACGCTGAGTCCAAATCTGGTAGTGCCGATGTCGTCCGGGCCCCCCGGGGACGTCATTGGGGACCTCCCGAGCACGCCGATGACACTCCCACGACAAATACGATTCGGCTCCAAACGTCGTGTACCCCGGCTGGTGCATATTTCTTAAAAGTCGCCAAATGTGATTATTATTAATAGCAAATCGCCCATAATAGTTTATTATCCAGATCAATTCACTATTGTCACATGGCACTTCCCTGGCGTTGCCGCCTGGAGCCACACAACGATGCACGGGACGGGAAGCATCCCCAAAGGATCACATCCTGGACAAGTGAGGCGGGATTGCCTACCCCAGGAGAGAATCACATCCCGCGACCACGATATGTCGGTGAGGTGAGTATGCCGTAATTATTGCTCTCCCCCTTTGCCGTGCCGCGTCCCCTACCCCTCTCCTCCTCCCCACCCCCACCGCGCATTTCCCGCGCCTTTATGGAAACGTAAACAAACATAGTGAAACTCGGTGTCTCGATCGGCGTTTCTGCCAAATACCGATAATAACTTCTCATATAATTAATGATCATAGGATTTTAACCAGAATTGTAGAGTGGACATCGCCGCTTTTCGTTATTAATCGCAAGGTATAGTGCTTTACTTGTTTCCGGTCCGGAATATTGAATTGTTCCATTCCGGTTATTGTTGTAGGAGGTTATGCTCCTGTGGCTCAATTTTTACAAGCACAATTAAGTTGTAAGTTATTTTTTGAGGCCGAGTAAATGATGCCCGTGATGTAAATAACTTGACTCACTGTCAGCTTTGTTGAAAAAGTGTTGAATGGGGTTAGACTCCTCCAATCCATGCAGTATGTTAAATACTGTTGTAGGTCCGTATGCAAATGGGTGAACCTGCTAGTGTTTTATCACATATCATATATTTTACTCTATTTTATTCTCGTGGAACAGAAATCTTTATTACTTTCTGATTGGGGTGCAAACCGAGTGGTACTATTTGCGTAATCCCCTAAACAATCAATCAATAATGCGCGTTGCAGATAATTTGCAGCTGCCCCTTCGTACTTAACGTTTAATCCAGTACCAAAATTAGTTATTTGAAAGACCATAGTCATTTAGAGACGCATGGGGGGAGAGGCATTTAAAAGTGCATTGTATGAGTAAATTATATGTAATTAATAGTAGATGAGCGCTAAAAGTACCATTTAATATGATTGCAGGAACTCGGCCCAGAAATGTTCTTGACATGAGCAAGAGAAGTCTATGGAGTAATTTTACCCAAAAGAATAGGTGAGTTGACATGACAGTAACCAACGCTGGTCTAATTTGTCTCTGTACAGACAATATGAGGAGCTTCCTTTCATGTGCATCAAAGGGTGGTTTTTGATGTTTTTTGTGGTGCCTTGGTTCTTTGTTGTTGCTTTCAAGCCTCCTCTGTCAAAATCCAGGCTGATTTGTTATCACTGAAAATGTCTTTTAAAAATCTTGCCAATTTGGGAAATTGCTGGAATTGGTTTGGATTGATGGGGCAAACTCCCTTTTCACATGCTCTGTCTAAATATCATGGTGCCTACCCACTACAGCAGAGTTCTTAGCCGGTGCCCCTTCCTTAGGTAGCCCGCCAGATTAGACCACCTTTAAAACGCAAGTTTCTGTGGACAGGGGTGGTTTCTGACGGAACCAAAAGTAGTTTTGTGGTTCCCTGGGTCACCCCTGTCGATTCGACTACTCTTCCGTCAAAATCCGGACCCATCAGTTTTCGCTAAAAA